CGAAATTTTTGTTGGGTTTTTCGGAACGTTTCGGGTACTTCGTCTAATATTTTTGGTAAGTTTTCTGAATTTATCTTTTCGGGATTTTTTTTCTTTTAGGTATAATTCAGGATTTTTTCCAAACCTTTTTGAAACTCTTCAGGTTTATATTTTCGAAATAATTCGTCTATTATTTCTCGTGAGTTTTGGGAAAATTGTGGAATTTTTCTTTGCGGGACTTTTATTTTTCGGAATCATTCGCGATTTTTTTCGAATTTGTTTGGGATTATTCAGGTTTTTATTGTCGGGGCTATTCTAGATATTTCGTTAATTATTTATCGGGATTTTCTAAAGTTTTTATTTTCGGGATTTTTTTTTATTCTCGGAATCGTTCGGGATTTTTTGAACTTTATCGGATTCTTCAGGTTGGTAGTTGTGGATTTTTTTGTGGTTTTTCAGAACTCTTTAGGTTTATATTTTTGTGGACTTAACAGGAATATTTCGGCTATTATTCCTCATGGGTTCTCGCAATATTTTGGAGTTTCATTTTCGGTATTTTAGCCTTTTCTGAATCATTTTTGATTTTCTTCTAAACCTTTCTATAATTTTTCAGGTGTTTTTTCAAGACTTTTCGGAATGTTTCGTTAATTATTTCACGGTATTTTTGGGAATTTTTGTTTTTTGTTTTTTTTATTCTCGAAATCATTCCGGATTTTTCTCTGCTCGAATAATATCACTGCCGTTGTCTTATGGGGGTGCTTTCCACTGATGAGGTGTTCGATTTGAGGGTTTAAGATGTTGTGTGAGTGAAATTACATAGACCATTCCCATTAAAAATGCCTATAGTACGGTTTAGATTTCATTCAGTTTGCGTGAAAATAAGGTTCGGCTGCAGTAGTAATTTTCAGTAGATAGTTTCCTGGTATTTCTAGTTGTATCTTATCAACCATTCAATCAGGTTCCCGTACAGATAATTGTGGAAATCTCGTGGAAGACGTATCAATTAGAGCTCTGGCATAGATATTCAAATATTGGAATCTCAGACTATTCTTTAACATAGCAAAAATGGTAACGTATGAAATACTAAAAACCACTTTCAGCTATTTGTTCCCAAAGCATATTAAAAGCAACGATTTGGCAAATCTTGCACCATGCTTCGCTCCAGAAGCTTTCAATGTGCTTTCAATTCATGCAGACAGCATCAGTATTTCATTATATCCCTAATTCAATGGTTCGCATTTCAAAAGTGTTTTCCGCACAAAGTGCCTTTGCTTGCCTAACCATGCAAATTAAAGCATACATACGTTGAGGAGTGCCTATGCAATGGCAGAAATTCCAGAAATACATGTCATATATGTATATATACGAATACATACATACATACATATACTATATATGAAAGTGATACTTAAATGATACCCAAATGATACTCATGAATACGTGCCCAAGTACAAATGTGTTAAATAGTATTAAAGCACACTTCCCAGTAAGAACCCTATCTGTTAACTAATGCGTTATATATATAAGCTTAGTACTACAAACAGTCAGTGTGTAAATTCACATAGGGCTTCGGGATATAGGTATGTATATGTACACATACATTTTATTGCTTAGCCCCTCTTTGATTTATTGATTTGATATACGATTTCCAATAGAAATCCAAGCGTGAATCATTTCAGGCGTGCATTTGTACGTGTGTGTGTGTATGCATGCAAACGGTTTAATTTCATCTGTGTGCCTAAAAGCATGCAAGCAAATATCCAGCACTTTAAAACTGCTTCTCCGCATACACATTAGGGTCGTCCTTAAAAATATCAATATCATGGTGCACCCCTCTAGTTTGTTTTTCCTTACGAAATAAATATCCGCGAAAATTAAAAATATTAAAAAAAAAAATTTGGGGCCGTTACAAAGGTTCGGAAAAATTTTAAGTTTTTTTAAATGAGAAAATTTTTTTGTTCACTATTTACCCTATTTTACATAAAAACAATTTGACAAAATTTTGATTTTGACCAGCTATACCAAAGCAATTTTATAAATTTATATGAAAAAATTTCAAAACGCTAAGTTATAGCTGGTCAAAGTCAAAGTTTTGTCGGTTTTTTGCGATTTAAAAAGTTTAAATCTACTCAAAACCCTGATAGGAACCCCCAAAAACTCTTTAAACATTTGAAAATCTTCGTGAATGTCTTCATTATATACTTAGATAGTTAAATTTTCAAATTTTTAAGGACCACCCTAGTGTGTATGTTAGGAGTGTGCGGCCAGCTATGCTTACACAGCAAACCAAACGGGCGATGAAAAGCCATCTACTGATAATATGGCGCCTAAAAATACACCCAACAAACATTTAAACTAATATCGAAAAATTTAGGGGTTCCATTAGTTTGAATATGAAAAAAAAAGTTTTATTTTTATTTTTAATTAATTATGATAACAACGCAAATTTTCTCTTTTATATAATTTAAGGTATTTTTCAAGCCTTAGAAATCGAGAAAGACCAAAATTTTCTCTTGGCTTGGAAAAATTAGATTTTAAGAGCTTTTTTTATATTAAATGGTTCGAGGATGGTAAAACTATTTGAAATAACATTTAAAGTAGCAATTTTATTTTCAACTAAAATAAACTCAAACATCCAAATAATTTTGAAACTTTAACAGAGCTGGCTTTAAACATGTTGTCAAGTTTTGAGTACTTCAGTTTTTTTTTAGTTAAAAGAATTTTATAAATTTGGATTTGTCAGTGTTGCAAGCTTAAGAAACTCTCCGTATTATAAAGGTTTGCCAAAGTTACTTTGCTAACTTGCAACTGCTCTGAGCACAGCGATACTTGTCAAATATTGGATCGGTTTAATAAAGGGCAGCCTAACGGAAACCACGTCACCAGTTGGTGGTTAATTTGCGCACAGTGTAGACAGTGTGCCAAGTAATGACAATTAAATTTTCTCCTATCCATATTTGACAATTGCTTCAGTGTGTTAGCTCAAACTTTGAAATTTGTTCTATAACCTTTTTACTAGTTTGAATTTAAAATTTTTTTGAAATCTCGAACACAAGAAAATATTAACAAAAAAAGAAATATAGAAAGCGGAAAAATAAGAATGCCGCATACGTGTTAAAAAAACAAAACAGTGGGAGCTAGCTTGTCACATGTCTTTGCCACCAACAGCACGTTTGTATGAGAATCATTTTAGCTCTGATCCAGTACTCCATGAACTTACAGGATTTTACACGAACTTGCAGTAAGTTACAGGAAAAATGTTCTCGTCCTTGGAGAGTTGTTTTGAGAATGAAGTTGCAAGATTTTTCCCTAGTGCTGCAAACCTCGATAGTGGCACCATCGGTGGTTTTTCATGGTTTTAAAGACAACCATGGATAAATGTAAAGGTGGTGCTCAAGTATTATTTTATCTAAACGTATTAAATTGGACGGATTTAAAAGCCAAAAAATACCACTTTTCACCTCTTTTTAAACCCAGTATTAAAAAATTTAAAATCAAAGTTTAAGTATTGACCCCATAGATAACATCGATGGTACCATCGATGGTTTTGCAGCACTATTTAAAACCTTCGACCTTTCTAGTACGAGTCTAAAGCGTAAGCGATTTGATCCGGAATGAGTTACATCAAAGCAAATACCATTACCCAATCTTTCCAATGTGGAAATAGAGAGAAAGTATGAAATTAACTTGAAGACGATGTGTAGTTTTTCTACGACTTGGTCAGCAAAAAGTTCTGTTATAAAATTTTTAATGTTTGTTTTTTTTCCGGATAAAACATTTAAACATCATTTTTAAACAAAACCACAACAATGAGATTTTTATTCAGAACAGAAAATTATATAAAACTGTTACTTGACACGCCTTGTTTTATTTGATTAAATGATAGGAATTTATCTTTGCGATTAAAATCCATTTTGATTAGAGATCAAAAATGTGTGCTTTTTTTAACATGTGTTACCTGAGGGTTAATTTGAAATAAAAAACTAACACAAACACATCACTTTACGTATGAATTTTCAAATATATATTTATATATATTATATATATATGTATATGGATACAGTCATTATTTGGCACACTGTCTACACTGTGAGTTTGCGAAGCTCTGAGCATGCGAAGCTTGGCTCCCCTTCATTGTTCCTAAAACCAATCCTTTTGCCGTTTGGCATTTGAGTGAAATTTTTTTTTAAATAACAAAACAAGGTAATGCCGTTCTGGATATTGATAAATGGAATATAATAAATTTTTCTGATTACACTCGTCTAATTACTTTCGGTAGGACTTCCGCCTACTTATTAAAGACAAAGAAAATTATTAACCTGAAAAATTGATGATTATGAATATCGGTGTTGTTTATAAATTTATCCTTACCTTATTTAATGTTTTCTATCATATATTTCGGCGCCGTTTTCGGTAATCGATAATTTATCGACACATTTTTTAAAGTTGTAATGAATAAAGTATTGATTCACTGTTAAGCAGTTAATTTTATCCATATATATCTTTTCATGAGTGTATGTTATCGATATTTCTTTTGCCCAAATAAAAGTAAAATATGCGTTGTATTTTTTTTTTGTTTGTGTATTTTTTCTATAAAAACTCCAACCTTCTACGCTATGATTTTAAAAATATTACTAATCATATTGCAAATTTTTTATCACAATTTTGCTTAATCCGCTTTACTTAAATATGTATATATATACATATGAACGTGCGTGCCTCAGTATGTATGTATGTATACCATAGTAGTTGCGCTAAAATTCATGTTTTAAGCTTCTTGGCCTTCTAAGATTTAAGTTAACACAAATAATAAGTACATAATATACAGATTTTATGAAAATAATCTTACTACTTTACTTTTTTGGTATTTTATAATACCAAATAGTTCATATACATACATATGTATGTATGTAGATTACTTTTGAAACAAACAAACTAATTAAGTATGATAAATAGTAACTCAATATTTATCAAGTGCTGTACTTGAGTAACTTATTTATATTTAAAGTATTCTTATTTGCAGGTCTTTTAATTATCTTCGATTTGAATTGGAATTCTGTACGCATTTTGCGCGAATAGCGACACCAAAACCATCTCCACTAAGATCAAAGTGTTGATGATGGCTGCAAAGAGGAAAAATTAAAGAAAGAAAATTAAAAGCTTGCATTAAAAAATATTTCGCTTTTTATAAAATAATTTTTTTAAGTGACTAAGAAATGTTATTTTAATTTTTGATTAAATACAGTAGTACAAATTGAATAATCAAATAGATAATAAGTTATAAAATTAAAGTTAAAAATAAAGCAACGGTACATATGTAAATACTTTAAAATATAATATACTAAAATAAAGTAAAATATGTAGTCTAGAAAAAAGAAGTCTGATGAGGAGATGTGGTGATCTCTGAAATAGCTGCTATAAATTCTACCGCTTAGACTTTGTCGCTTTTTGAATTTTTCCTAATAAACAATCGTGGTACAAAGCTCAATAAAAATATTATTCAATAAAACAAATTTAAATACAATAAAACAAAATAAAATAAAAATATATAAAATAAAAGGATATAAAATAAAATAATAATAAATAAAACAAATAAAAATAAAAATAAAATAATAAACATATAATATAAAATAAAAAAATAATAATAAAATAAAATACATAATACTAAATGAAATAATATTAAATAAAAATAAAATGTATAGTGGAAATATACTAACATACCTATTAAAAAAATTAAAATAGGAAAAAACTATTTGTATTTAATTTATCAAAGTTTTAATAAACAATTATTTTTAAATATAAAAATATGATACATTTTTAAAGATATTGAAAATAAACTTTAACTAAATTCAAGAAAAGATTTTCTTAAAAATGTATTAAAAATTTCCTAAGATAAGAACTATGAAAGTATTAAAAAATATTTCTAAATTATGTATATGTATTTGTAAACTCACTTTGCTTGTATATAACGTGATTCATTGGATACAAGCCCCCAAGCAATACTCGATCCAATTGTTGATCTAAAATTAAGTACTGCATTTTGCAAAGCAACAAAACTAATTGTAGGCAAAACATTTTTTTCTAAAAAAAAGAAATTAACTAATTAATAAACTTTGCACATTCTCTTTACAAGCTCAACTCACCATAGTGCTATAATCCGAATGCAGATTATTTACCACACGCACAGTAATATTCAGTCCCCAAACGCCGAGTATAATCGAGCAAATGATGAATGGTAAGAAGTATAAGTGTACATCGTGGAATAGATCCTGGAATGGCAAAACGAATAAATTTCAAAATTATTTATTTAGCTATGTAAATATGTACATATGTACATAATTATTCATCAAAGATATTAATAATTATTATAAGTACTATTTTTGTGGTCAATATATAAATCCATACTGCAAGAGTAAAAATAAATTCAAGAAAAAAAAAACGAATGCCCCGGGTGAGGCTCGAACTCACGACCTTAAGATTATGAGACTTACGCGCTGCCTACTGCGCCACCGAGGCTATGCTGGCGACGCTGTCAAATGCGCAACTTAACTTTGGCTAAGCACAGCGCATTGTTTTTGGTGCTAGAACAAATGTGTATACAAATTTTATTGTTACGGAATGCGTTGCGTTTTCAACCTATTATATTTATTTGCTTTTAGAATTGTCTCAAGTTGTGTTAACAATATCGACATTGTTGTCTACTTTGCTAGCTAGCTGGCGTGCGGGCGGGCGGGCGACAATTAGCGAGCAAACAGACGCCGCTGGTTTGTCTACCGATTTCACTTGGTATAATAAATGAGATAAGTAAATAATTTTATGAATAGTACGCGTCAAAGAAAATTAAAATGTTTAAGTCATTTGATGTCTTTGATTAGAAACTTGGCTAATCAATTGGAGTCTACTGAGTAAGAGTAAGCGCCTTTATTGGCTGGCAACTCGCCTTAAAGCTCAGTTAGTAAGACTTAACTTAATTTAACTTACCGTAAGAAATCATCAATGATTACTCAATACGCCAACTTAAGCCAAGAGCGAGTTTACTAATTTTTGGACTTATTCATATTCACCATCTGGGCTAAGCCAAAAATTAGCCTACGTTTTAGTTAATCAGCTTATTCTTGCCTAAGTCAAAAAATTGTTAAACTAAATTAAGTTGAGTTGGATGAAATAAAACCATTGCAAATGGATCAAAGGCATTAACTTTACTTAGACGTATTTTTGCCGCTTAGGAAACACTCTTATTTGGCTTTGATGGTTTAACCCTTCCCTGCCCATGGTAGCCATATGGAGACTAACCTTTATTTTCCTAATTTGGGACTGCGGGCTAGTCAGTAGCAGTTGTGGGCAAGAAGGAATAACTATAAGAAATATATGTAGTATATTCATTTGCTGTCGAATCATAAAAATACCTTAAAACTGTCAACTTTTAAAAATGTTTTAACTAAAATGCAAAATATTTTTTCCTCGTCAAAAGTTCGGGGATGAAAGGGTTAAGAATTCTGTATCGGCAACACTGCTTATACACTCCCAGTCAACAAAATAGCATACCCTTTTGGTCCTCAGTATGTACAGTTTTCCGTTTTTTATTTAATATTCATTATGTTTGTATAAAAAATTAGTAATTCTACAAAATACCGTTGAATTTTGACAATTTATTTTTTTTGTTGAAGGTGCTTCCATATAAAAATTTTGTTGAGCATACTTTGTATGGAACAAAATGCATTTCCCTGTCAACAAAAAAAATAAAAATTATTAAAAGGCTAAGTATGATTTTCTGTATTATCATAATTTTATTTATTTTTGTTGAATTTTTGCTTTTTTTGGTCTAATAACAAATCATATTCAATAACTGCTCAGTAATGTTAGGCCGTTTTGAATGAACAATTGTTGCTGAAAACAACAATATTTTCGATTGGTTGCAGAGATCACATCTGTTCATGAGGTTTCTTCATCGAGTTCACTGGAACTTTCGACAACATTTTTCATTAAAAACGGTCCCAAGTTAAATAAAGTTGTTGAATACCAATTTTTTTTTTTTTAGAAATGATGCCGTTGTCCTCATTGGTTATTTTGGAACAGAGTCGGCCAGAAAGAGTTTTCAGCTTGTGCACTCGTATAGGGTTACCACTGACGAAAAAAATACTTACCAAATCTGAAAAATATCTACCAATAACTTTTTTAGTTATTTTAATTAAAACTATAGATTGGTTTTATTTTCAAAGTTATTTTAATAAAAATTATTATTTTTTTAATAAGAAACTCTTTGTTTAACTAAACATAGTATGTAATTACATATCTGTCCATTTTTTATTTTTATTTAAAGAATCATTTAAAATACTATGGCAGTCAAAATCGTCTAAGGATTCCAGTAAAATGAGTTTTGAATAGGGCACCATGTGCCCGACTTTTATCGATAAAGTGTGCCATCAAGTGATCGAAAATTTTTTTGCAATAAATTAACTAGACTAAACTTTTGGAAAGAAATTTATCTATGATACAAAGATAACTAGAAAAAATTAAGCGGTCTACCAAGATTAAAAAAAAATACCTTTTTACCAACCCAAATTTGTTCTACCAATTTTGGTAATAATTTGCCAAAGTGGCAACCATGCACGTAAAGGTAATAGTGATGACCAAAGCACAAGCAGCACTTAAAACTCTAATTTTTTTTATAGATTTTGCGAGCAGAAGGTAAAAGCTCATCTGTTTGCAGACTAAGGGCCGGTTTCTCTATCTCCGGTTAACACTAATCCCCCGGTAAACATCGTTACCGACCTTATCGACTCCCTGTTATATGCATGGAGTTAGAACGTCGATAACAATGCTTAACCGGGGAGTTAGTGTTAACCAGAGATGGAGAAACTGGCCCTAAAAGATCTTTCTGTCGGAAATAAGTAAACCAGAAATTAAAAGTTCATAAAAGCTCTGCTTGCGGGCCACATTTTGTGTGTCATTATATTAGAGCCAAAAAAGATTGGCCCGGATGCCCCTATATGATAGATGGGCACTGCCTTGCCCGCGGGCGAAGCTCTTTTAAGCTTTCTACACATTTTGTATAGGTGCGTGCAGAGAAAAAGCTCTCTCTGCGCATCGCTTCCTTATATTCCTCAAATATAGATTTACTATGTATGTGAGTAAGACTTTTGTCCAATAAACGTACGCAATCTTAGGAAGCTTACAGCCGAAATTGGTGTCTGTGAAAAATTGTTCGATGATTAAAAAACCCTTCATGTACTCACCATATCATTGTAGTAGATGCCATTCAATACGAACATTATGCTGCCCTGCACGAACACCATCTGCCACACCATACAACGCAGCACCACAAAACGACCGCGCGTGGGCGTCACGCCCGGCAAGCATATGCAACAACAGCAACATGGCGGTGTTCTAATCGGCACAGCCATACCTGCGGTTTCCTTAATGAAGCTCACCTCCGAACCGATATAGTGCAAACACAGCTGATGGAAGATAATCCCACCGACAGTGAATAAAAGATGCATTACAGTGTGACAGCTGAACCAAATTTTCGGCAGAAGTAGAGTGAGTAACGCCACCAGGCTAATGAGCGGATAGAGTGAAACGAGTGCTACAGAGGGCGCAAGTAGCGGTTTGCGCAGACGCTGTTTCAGTTTAGCCACCGTCGTGAGGAATATGGAAATGTTTAGCATGAGAATTAAAATGCCCACAAAGAGACAAAGTGTGACGAAGGGTGTGAGATCTGTGGAGGGGAGAAAGGAAAAGTTAAATATTTTATACATAATTACTAATTTTAAAGTTGCACTTACTCGTATAATACTCTGACAGCGTGGGGTGCATGTAAACGCTGTAACTGTAATTTTCAAAGGTGAGTTGGTCGAAGCTCTCATTACTCGGCGCTGGGGTGGGGAGTTGATCTTCACTGCTATTACTGAATGCGGTTATGGATGCGGGAGTAGTGGTGGCAGTTGCCGGCGAAATAGTATTTGAAGTCATTTCTGCTGCTTTTATTTGTATTTTCCCTGGCAAAATTATGTTTGTACTCAGTTGGAAATATTGCCTCTTCGAAAGTCTCTTTGAGTTCGCTTTATACAGACTATTTGTTTATAACACTGCAAGTAAATAAAGTAAATATTTATTTGATTAGTTGAAATAAGTTAGCTGCTCTTGTTGTTATTGTAAATGTGTAAATATGTAAATATGTCTTTTATAGTGGCGGTGACACACTTTGGAATGTGAATCAGATTGCTTTGGCTAAATGTTTATAATTAGTGATGTGTGATAAGAAACTTAACGAGTAATTGTGTATAACACCTAAACAAACAACAAATAAGTAGTAAGTTATACGGCCTGCTGTGACTTTTGATATAAGAGATAAAATTGAAAGCACCACTTATAGAGCTTACGGCACACTTTTCTAATATCTTGGATATTCATTAGTTGTAGTAGTTTACTTTTAGATTTATTTATAGACAATCTGAAGTTGAATGAAAGTCTGGTATAATTGCGGATACACGGAATTAATTTTAATTAGGGATGTGCAATGTAAAAAATAAGAGCCGGATTCGGATATCCGATCGGATATACGGCAGACTGCTGCCCTTTATAAATTTCACAATATTTTTATACTTAGCCTCATCAAGTTTTGACCTCGTTCAGATTTCGCCCATGCAGTTCACCTGTTGTATTTTGAATAAGCCGGATTCCGCTTATCTACTCGATACCCCACATATCCCTAATTTTCATATCAATGAAATTAAAGAGAGTGTCATACTGGATATACCATCTTATAAAACAAGTAAATTTTTTAGCTTGTAAATATTATTTTTTATCAAGAAAACCGATAAAGTTTTGCCTATTATTCTTTGGGCATTCATAAACTGCAACCAATCCCAAAATTGTGAAGTGTCTGGAAATATCCGGAAAAAAATTCCGAAACAATCTGGAAAATAAAACGCGAGGAATCCGGCAAAGTCCTCAAAACGCCCAAGAGATTCCGAAAATCCCGAAAGTGGAATCTCGGAAAATCGGAAAAATTCTGAACGGCTACGAAAAATTCCAAAAAATTCTCGGAATGTCTCGAATAAGTCCGTCGTGCTCGCCTTCGCATTTGCTTCGCTTTCGGGCTTGTTTGCTTCTTAACGTCCTAAACGATTTTTACAGAGTTCAACGAAGCATGCCAGTCGTTCCTCGTCTCTGCTAACTGGTGCCAGTTGTAATGCCAAGTGAATCCAAGTCCTTCTCCACTTGGTCTCTCCTCCCTCCTCCTCTGCTAGCACCAGTGTGTTCCGAGTTGAATACTTTCAGAGCTTGAGAGTCGGTGTCCATTCGGACGACATGGCTAAGCCATCGGAGCCACTGTATTTCAATTCGCTGCACTATGTCCATGCCATTGTAAAGCTCATATTTATTTTAATCGGCTTTTTAGATTCATTTGCTAAGCTGCTCAACTTTTCTTCCATGCCTGAGTGCGGTGATGGTATTGAGCAGGGCAATAAATATCTTTGAAATTGCCGTTGAAATTCTAATTCATACCTTTGGGACCATCGAAAGTCCAGGACGAGTGTGAACAGCATCGCTTCTCAATGTTAATAAAATTAAGACTGAGTTATCCGATGCAAATATTTGTTCAAAATTGTCTACAAGGAAAATAAAAAACTTCACACATTTTTTTTAAACTAGTACAAACACAATTATCTTTAATTGATTTCTTGTGCCCAATTTGTTGTAGAGCTATGGACGGCTACTGTAAACCTTAGACGAAAAATAAATATTTGCTTGTACTGACATGTGCCGCATTCTTTTTCATTCGCTCGTGTTAAATAACTTTTAAAGTAAACATTAAGATGTCTCGCCCTTCCGCTAAGGAAAACCACAAACAATTTAAATAATTGCCATATCGCGCGTTTAATAATATAGAGATGTAACTAAAAATTCCTTTTTTGGAAATTTCATTATGCAATTAATAAACCTGATTAGTAGAATATGATCAGTCCAGCAGATAACCAAACTTGTCAAATATGGCGAAGATATGTGTTTTTCCATCTGTCTTTTTGTATACCAATTGTATGAATTGATATAACTTTGATTGCATTTTCCCACAGAACTGAAATTTTTAAATACTTCTTTATATTATTAAACATGCGATAATGCATAATAGCTCATGGAATTCCAAGAATTCAAACCGGATTTATAACACTTATTGTATGAAATAAAAAACTTTTTGGATAGCTAATAATTTGCATTGCTTCAATGAATATCTTCAGGACGGGAATTGACAAAATCAGAAAAAAGGTAAATAGTAAATGGCATAGACCAAATGGATATTAGGTAAAAAAAGCAAAAAAAAAACACAAAATTTAAATAAAAAAATAAATTAAAAATATATTTAAATTAAATCAAATCGAATTAAAGCAAAGAAAAATAAAGTCCAATAAAAATTAAAAAGGTAAATTAAAAATAAAATAAAACTTAATTAAATAAACTTTAATTAATAACAAGTAAAAAAGTCTATGTTCGGGTGAAGCCGAACATTAAATACCCGGGCAAGTATTAAATATAGTTTTTAGCCTTTCTGAAAACTACCGTTAAATGGTAGAAGAGTGGTTTTACCCCCATTTCTAGCAATTTCGATAGTATGTTCACTTATAATTAATGAGATAAACTTATATAGTTAGTTGTGGGCGATATCACGCCCACTTTCCAAAATTCTATAATAATGGTACTTCTTTTCAACGGATTGTTGTTAGTATCGATTTTGAGTAAATTAGCGGCCTTTTCGAAACATCGAAGTTTCCTAACGAAAGAAGTCTGATGAGGAAATGTGGTGATTTCCGAAATAGCTATCACTTCTACCACTTTTTCAAATTATTGTTGCTTTTCCACCATAAGTTTTTCATTAAAAACGGCCTCAAGCTCAATAAAAATTGTTGAATATAATTGTTATAAGGCTACAAAATAACAAAAACAAATAAAATAAAATAAAATAAAATAAAATAAAATAAAATAA